TCCATATATACTGCAACAAACTATTTGTTATCACAAAGAATCAATTATATATGAGGCAAGAACAAGATTCTTATCTTTTTCTTCGGGATTTTTGGGATGGTGAAAAGCGGACTTAATACACCTCAAGAGCATAATCATACGATGCCTAAGAAATTTGTAATCAGAGTTGTTCCAGAGTCAGTTTCTTATTCACCCTCTATTCCGTATGAAGCCTGAGATCCAAAAGGGTTATTTTATTATTGTATTCTGCATTGTTGTAGTTTAAAACGAAAACAGAACATCCACTTCAACATCTGCTCTCTTCAGATAAGACAACTACAAGTAGACGTGAAATTGTTTTTGTTTTCATAAAACGTTCTCTGTGTTTTCTGTTTTTGCCCACCGAACAGGTTTTCTGTCTGTTTTTGTTCTCTCAAAATGAAAATGGGCACTCAAAACATAAACGAACGGGGCCTAAGATTCTGTTAAACTTTTATACATAAGGAAAATCATGGATAAAAACTAATAATTTAGAGCCCGTTGCAAAATACCACCCAATAAGAGAGCTCAAGGAGTACATAAACCTGACATGAAGAGGATATGGTGAGAGACCCATCATCATAGTTGCCCCAACTTGCTTCGGCCTTGTTCTTTCAAAAACAAACCTTGTCAATGCGTCTAGCCCGGATCTGAATTCAGACCTTAATTTGACCAACTGCAATAGAAAAACTTAGCCTTCAAGTTCAACACAAACAAATATCAATATAGAGAGTAACAGATTTGAATTCATGACCTACAAGAGAGAGATCAAAGACAACAGCGAGCGTGAGTCACTGACCTGAATTTCGTTAATTCTCTATAGATCATGTTCGTTGTTCAACGGCCGTACAAGCATTCTCTATCTGAAAATAGAGCTCGAATGGAGGCTCGTATCTATATTGGCCATTCATACTGTACAATTAGCGCCTCCAAGTCCAACATACATTATACATAGAGAACATAATTTAAGAGTAGCAGTGGTCAATGTGCCTAGAATGTCATAAATAGCTAACAAGCGTAACCTAAAAGCAGATAATGCCAGTTTAACAGTACATGTATGAATTGGCAAGCAAATTCTTGAAAATAAAAGGTCAAGATTTCTCTCTCTCTCTCTCTCTCTCTCTCTCTCTCTCTACTACTACTACTACAAAAATGCAGAAAGATTAGTGCGCTTCCCAGTTCCAAAACTAAGAAGGCTGCATTATATGCTAAGCATGCCAATGCCGCCTCCTCAACATCTCCCACCAACAAATGAAGCAAAGAATGAAAATGAAGAAAACCCTTCGGTTTTTGATGCTTCAGTTGCTCAGTACCAATCCAGCATACCCTCCAAATTCATATGGCCCGACCACGAGAAGCCATGCCCTGAGCCGCCAGAGCTTCCAGTTCCTCACATTGACATGAAAGGCTTTCTCACAGGGGACACTAGGGAGGTCTCAAACGCGACTCGTTTAGTCGATGAGGCATGCAGGAAGCATGGATTTTTCCTCGTTGTTAATCATGGAGTTGATTCGCAGCTCATAGCAAAAGCTCATGAATACATGGACTTGTTCTTTGGCATGCAACTCTCACAGAAGCAAAGGGCTCAGAGAAAGACTGGTGACCACTGCGGATATGCCAGTAGCTTCATTGGCAGGTTCTCCTCCAAACTTCCATGGAAAGAAACACTTTCTTTCAGATATAGTGCCGACAGCCACTGCACAGTCAATGACTATTTTGTGAATGTAATGGTTCAGACTTTCAGTCAATCGCAGTGTTCGAAAAGTCGGGCTAGGCGGACGCTAGGCTGCTAGGCGGTGGCTAGGCGGGAGCTAGGCGGCTAGGCGGTGACTAGGCGGGCGCTAGGCGGCTAGGCGGTGACTAAGCGGGCGCTAGGCGGCTAGGCGGCTAGGTAGTAGCTGGGCGGGTTGGGTCCCTTTTCGGTGCCGAACCCGGAGGACGAAGCAGTGACTGCGAGAGAAAG